AACCCGGGCAGTCTGACCGGTCAGGTATGAGAAGATATGGAATCAAGAACATGGCTTCGTCTGACAAAGGCATGCGTGCTGACCGGGTGAAAATTGACCGGCCGGAGGAACAGTAACGTTGAAACGTACTTGACGTGCTTAAACATTATTATAAATAGGAGTAAAAGCCTCATTAGGATATACCAACAGAGTTCTGATTATACTTCTTTCATCCTAAAATCATTTTCACTATTCAAACAACCTATAAAATCTCGTAACTTTTAAATTTGTTTTATTTACAAATTAGTATTGAAATAAAAATACTACTTACATACTCCGTATTTAAAAGTGAAATTTGCACTAAGTTGTGATAAAATATATGTTATTTCCTAATGCAGTGTTTAAACGCTTTTATTCCCTAAATGGTACTTGAATAATGTCTAGTGGATAAAACAATATAAAGTGATGTTGGAAATTTAGTTTGAACAATGTCTAGTGGCAGTGGACATTTACATGAACAACGACCCCTGGACATTGAATTGTAGTACTATATTGGAAAATAAAAACATATGGTATCACATTGGAATAATCACCATGTTTTAGTATTATTTAGGTAAACTCCCCTAGTTTAAACTACATAAAAAAGTCTATAAAACAAGAGATGAGAAGAATATTTTATTTTATCAAATAATAAATGAAAACATACCAATAATTAAATTTAAAAACATGCAAAGGAGACAAAAAAAAATTAAAGAGTGCAAAAACATGCAAGGGGGAGACAAAATAATTAATAGTGTGTTTAGAAACTTGAGTTTGAATTTCAAATCTAGATTTGATAAAAATTACTTGTGTTAAACAATAATAATAATAGTATTAGTTATTGTAGTGTTTGATTATAAGTCAACTTCCTATTCCTATTTAAGGTTAATGTTGTATTTTAGTTAGTCTTCATTCTCTATTCCTAGTTGTGTTAGGAGTCTCTTCTATAGATATACTCTATCATGTACTTCATAATTCAACACAGCAATATTATTATTCCAATATTTCAATAACTTGTTCGGGAAATTAAATAATTTGGATTATTGGGACTTGGACCAAATTCTTCTAATTCAAATTTAAGCCAATTACAAAACCAAACATCTCCTCATATCATTTACAATTCAATCCCAATTTCTCTTTCATTTATTACTTGTAATAATTAAAGAGTGATCTCTCTTTATGCAATAACAGTTCCATATATATCAACTGTCTTTCGTTACTGTCTTGCCGATTTCAAAATTCAAATTTTAGAAATAAAATTTTATGACTTCCAAAATAACACTTGAAATTTAAAATTATGAGATTTCAAATATTAAAATTGAAATCTAAGATTTCTAATGATTTTTAATTCCCAAACACTATTTAGATGAACAAAAAACGTAAAAACCAAGGGAAATTATATTAAAAGTATTGGGAAGTAAAGACGAAATTTAAAAAAAGAGAGAAGAAGAGAATGATTGTATAGTGGAAATCTGGAAATGTCAAAAAGTACTTCTCAAAGTAAGTCGCCCACTTACTTTGAGAAAAATAAATTTTTGTTAAGGGAAGTCGCTGAGTGCGTTCTTCTCTCTTCCGAATTCAGAATAAAAAAGTTTCCTTATCTCGGAATTTTTTCTATAATAAACTCATTGATCAGTTTGAGACACGACGTAAAGCATGTTTTGCATGGCAGAGGAAAAATTGTTTATTTACTCCTAAAAGCATAAAAATTTTTCAGAAGCGTGAGATAGATAAACAACTTTTTCAAGCTATGCATTACGGTGGGCAAGAATATGTGGTAAGCAGTACATCGAGGTCTAATCCAGCTAATATCTATAGCTTTTTAGTGGATTTGGGAAGAAAAAAATGTACTTGCGAGCAGTGGAGCAGCGATGGTATTCCATGCGTGAATGTTCACAGACTGTATCATTCTTTTCGACGGTTGGCTGACGACGAAATCTCTTCAATGTATTCAGTTGAACAATATATGAGATGTTACAATGTACACATCAACCTCGTGCTTTCCCCACAACAATCAGTTTACGGGAATTTACGTATTCTACCTCCAGTTAGGCCCGCTAAAGAAATTTCTCGGTCTGGTCGTCGATAGCGAAATCGATTCTTGGGAGAGATAGACAGAGTTGCAAGACATCAAAACTGAATTTTCACATTTCTTGGGAGGGATGGAGAGAGTTGGAAGTCATTAAAAATCATTTATTCTTTTAGATTATCTTTTTAATTTCTATTGACATTTGTTGAACAAATCTAATTTATGTTATGAAGGTAATTCTGTTGTTTTGATTTTTTTATGTCAAATTAATAATATCATCATATGAGTTCTTATTTTAATTATTTTTGAATTAAATCAATGCTAATAGAAATTAATATAAATTAAGTTTTTATTTTGAAAAGTTGAAATTAATTTAAAATAAAAAAAATATAAAGAGTAAAACATGAGGAAGTGAACCGGTCAACAAAAAGTAATTTCAAAGGAAGTCGCCGACTTCCCTTGAGAAAAAGTTCATGGAACCTGTGGGCAAGTGTGTGCCAGGCTGGTTGAAATTAAAAAAAGTATTTTCAAAGGAAGTCAGCGACTTCCTTTGAGCAAAATTTAAAAAATTTAATTTCAAAGGAAGTCAGCGACTGCGTTTTTCCCTCTGCCGAATTCAGTCTAATAATTATTCCCTATTTCAAAATTTTTTCTATATATGAAAGTAGGGGGATGAATAGTTTATATATATATATATATATATATATATATATATATATATATATATATCCCGTGAGAATGCACCTTGTGGATCATTTAATAAAATAAAGTATTATTATCATATTTTTTCTTGTAAAACTTTTGTTGTAGTTTTTAAATATATAATTTATACTTTTTATTTGTATACTAATTTATTGACAATTTTTTTAAAGATACTACATACGTCCATCCCAAATTAAGTTGTTTGTTTACTACTTACATTGTCAAACTTCATTAACTATCTTTTTTCTATTTTCGTTACTCATTCTTTAATATAATATAACTAGTATTTTGAACCGTGCAATGCACGAAGTTAAACAAAATTTTGTTCAATTATGCAATTTTCTGTCAAGTTTTTCTAAGACTCCTTTCTTTTGGGTTCATTCACCGGCCCGATTCTGAAAACTATGGTTCTAACTCTTAGGGCCCGTTTTTGGTGAGAGAAAAATATTTTTTTCAACAAATTTCAAATCTACTATCTTATTTTTGATTGCAAAAGTTGTAGAAAATCATTTTTTTAGAAAATTATTCTTTCAAAGAAAGGAAAATGACATTCGTTTGTTTTGGATAAAAATTCATTTTCTTACTCATTATTCGAATACTCTAATTTTATGAACATATATAACAAAGAACTCGCCCACCCACCCCGTGTAACGCCCTGCAACCCTAGAAAATAGAATTGATTAATTAAATTAATTAATTACTATTCCGGACCGGAGTTGGGGAAAATAAAAAGTTCTTAGAAAAATGATTTGATCACATCATTAAATTCGTTTTGACTGTCTGATTCCAAAAACGCTAACGGATCTCAATTCGGACCCGTTCGGGGGGGGGGGGAAGCGTGTACCGTTCATGTGAGATTTTTACATAACGAAGTAAAGTAAATATTGGAACCTCCATTCCATTCACACGCCACCCTATTCATGCCCATTTAAGTCCCCNAAGTCCCCATTACTTTCTTCATTACTATTCTCATTTTAAAACCCCCATCCCATCCCTTTCCTCCTTCACTTTGTAACCCCCATATTCAACACACAATCACTCCCTCTTCCCTTTTCCCTTGTTCGGCCAAGGCAGCAAGCAAACCAGGGAGGTTTCCGGCAAGTAGACGGGAGGTAGAAGAGGAGGAAAGGCACGCAGGAGGTTGCCCGTTCGTCCGTTCGTTGGTTCGTTGCTAACCGTTCGTTCATCTCGTCCCACAGTTCCGTCAATCCCTATGTTTAGAGGTGAGTAGTTGTCCCCTCTAATTCTAGAACATTTAGTTATAATCTATGTCGTTATATTCATAGGAATATCGTACGCAACCTACGTAGAATCTATGCATGTTCGTAGGTTAACCACCAAAATGTTCACTACATTAAACCTATAAATATTGGCCTAGGAATCACTAGGAATATAATCTTCAATGTTGTTTTATTGTTCTAAAAAGAATCTAAGTGTTAAGTTGGCAAAACGGATCAAAACGAAGCAAGGGACAGCGGACTATCTTCGGGACGGTCGACCGCCGCTACGCACGGTGAACCGTTCCCACAGCCATATTGACGGTCACCACTGTGACGGTCGACCGTCGGCCGCAACGGAAGACCACGGTGGACCGCCGGCATCCTAGTCCCCCACAACGTAGCCCACGGTCGACCGCCGGTAGGGTACGGTCGACCGTTCCGCGGGCAGATTTCCAGGCAGTTTGTAGAACGAGCCCCGTTGACCCAGAATCTAATCGTTTGTTGCATGAAATGTTAATCTTCATTATATATGTTATTCAATTGGTATATTCTTTGCGTTGACCAAAGGTAAATATATCAAGCATTCATCATGTTCATTCTAGACGCATGTCCTAGATTTTCATCATGTGCATATCGTTGTAGGGAGGTCTTCGTGCGCCTACTACAGTGGGCCCGTCCAGGAACCTATGGGGTCCAACGGGTTTTCATCATGTTGGGCTTGTGTACGTACATAGTAGTCAGGTTACGGCTACTACCCGGTTTTTCTAGTCCACTCGCGACATCTTCGTCGTGCCCGACTCGTTACCGTTTGGGTACGATGACCGGAGTGCAGGGGTGATCTTGTCGAGTGAGACTAAGCTAGGGATGTCCCTGATAGTTTGAGTCATGCATCAAGTCATATCATCATCAAGTATGTTCCTATCACTTTTGTTATTTGTAATAGTCCTAACAGGTGAAAACTAAACAGTTAGTAACATGTGGTTTCCCGTACGTTAAGTACAGGTATTAATATGTGTATAGCCATATGGGTTATCACTTAATGTTCTTTAGTTAGATTCACTCCTCAGCTTTTGCCTAGCGTGTAGTTGTTTTTGCTACACGCAGGTAGACATGACGATGCGGGCGCTAACCCTGGAGAGCAGTGACGATGGGGAGATGGGCGGCGCACGGACGAGCTCATATCTATTTTCATTTACTCACTTGGGCATGAACCCACCCTTGTCGTTTATTTAATTTGGACTGGACTTATTTATTTACTTCCGCATTTACTCTGCACTTTTATTACACAAGTTTTTGGAGTAAGTCCCTAGCATCTATTTCGCTAATTAAACCCAACCATTTTCTTATTAAATAATCATTAATGTTTTATGTAACGGACGGTTCTCGGACTGCCCATGTAACCCTACCGGTCCGTTGGGTCGCGGGTGAACCGGGTCCGCGGAAGGCAGGTGTTACAATTTGGTATTAGAGATGTTCGGTTTTTGTGAAAAAAAACACAAATTTTGTCATTTTGGTCAAAAGGTATTTTCTTTTCAAAAAGTCCACAGCTGCATCTCCCATCACATCACTCCAAGGGAAAGGTACTCCGTTATTTTAATCACATGTATGTCATATTGTAATTAGTTCTGATTTAAGTTATTCCTATAGAGAATGAGTCAAGCAGCTGACAATGACGGACAGGCTATCCTAGAGGGGGAGCCGGAGCACGTGAGTGTGCACACGGAAGCTTCAAGCTTCACGCTGCAGCAGGCATCCGAGCAGGCAGCCCTGGGCGCGGGCCCTGTTCCTGAAGCCATCCCTATTATTCAGCCGCAGTTCGCGGCTAACTTCATGAACTTCCTCCAGCAGATGGCTGGAGCATACGTACCACCACCGCCGCCGCCGCCGCCACCAGCGGCGGTGGTCACCATCAAGAAGCTCCGGAAGAACGGAGCTGAGGAATTTCTGGGCGATCAGATCGCTGACCCCATGATTGCTAAACGGTGGTTTGAGCGAACCATCCGAGTGTAGGGGAACCTGAGGGTTCCACAAGAGCAGCGTGGCGACCTCGCAGTCGCATTACTTCAGGATTCCGCCTACGACTAGTGGAAACGTGTGGGAGCAGACGTCCCGGAGCCCATGCAGTGGGCCACTTTTGACCAACTCTTCCATGAAGAGTACATCCCGGAGCACTTTGTCGAGGCGAAGCGAGAGGAGTTCCTGAAGTTCACCCAGGGTGAACTCACACTGCCAGAGTATCGTCAGAAGTTTGAGGAACTCGTGGGGTTTGGGTAGGACCTTGTCCCGACCGTAGAGAAGCGGTGCAAACGCTTCGTGGAGGGCTTACGTCCCGACCTTTCAGCTCATCTGATCATTGCTCCTCGTAGTGACATCAACGCGTTGTATAAAAATGCATTGGATTTGAATGCGGCCCTCGTCAAGAAGGCTGAGTTTGAGCAGACGCAGGGGGCGTCAGCGGCAACATCTCGTCCTCCTCCACCCCAGAAGGCGGGGACCAGCAGCAAGAGGTCCTTCGCAGTGCCTAGCAGCTCTCACCAGAGCAAAAAGGTGAAGTCGGCCCCAGCCCAGTCATTTGCGTCCGTTCAGAAGAAGGGCAAAAGCGGTGATGGGTTTCGCAACCCGATTTGCGACCATTGTGGGCGTAGGCATCCAGGAGAGTGCTGGTTCACGCAGGGCCTATGCCTTGGGTGTGGCCAGGCCGGGCATTTCCGCAGAGATTGCCCGAAGAATCCGGGTGAGGCATTCTCGTATGCACCAACCGCCTCAGCCCCAGCAGCGCAGCCCGCCCAGAGCCATTAGTCGGTGGCAGCATCCAGCCAGCCTAAGCTGCAGGCGCCAGGTGCCTAGGCGGAAAAAGCCACAGCCCGTACTTATGCAATGCGAGGGCGTACCGAGCAGCCAGCCCGTGACGTCATCATGGGTATGTTTACCTTATTCGATACATCTATTACATCACTTATTGATCCGGGTTCCACTTTATCATATGTTTGTATGCCTATGCCTGTTATGCCTAACATATTAAGGGAGGACTTAGACAACCCAGTAATTGTGTCCAACTCGTTGGGACACGGTTTACGACTCACCCATGTGTATCACGATTGTCCATTAGTGGTCCAGGGGAAGACTTTCCCTGCAAGTCTCATTGACCTTCCACATCGTGAGTTTGACGTTATTTTAGGCATGGATTGGCTCACTGCCAACCAAGCCGTTGTTGACTGTGGAGCGCATACTATTCGACTGAGAGCCGAAGACGGCAGTGACGTTCTGATCCGTGGTGAGCTTCTTCCGAAAGCTCCAGAATTTATTTCCTACATTCATGCTCGCCGACTCATTCGCAAGAAGTGCGAAGCATTCTTGTGCACAGTGCGTGACACTCGTCAGGAGGCACCTAGTAGGGAGGACATCCCTACGGTATGTGACTATCCTGATGTATTTCCAGATGACATACCTGGCCTCCCACCCCCTAGGGAGGTAGAGTTTTCCATTGATCTAGTTCCGGGAACAGGACCAATTTCAATCACACCTTATCGCATGGCACCTGCGGAAATGAAGGAGCTGAAAGCTCAACGGCAGGAGTTGTTGGATAAGGGCTTCATTCGTCCCAGTGTGTCCCCTTGGGGAGCACCGGTTCTGTTCGTTCGCAAGAAGGACGGGTCGATGCGGTTGTGCATCGATTACCGTCAACTGAACAAAGTCACCATCAAGAATCGCTATTCGTTACCATGCATTGACGATTTGTTTGACCAGCTTAGAGGAGCCACGGTTTTCTCTAAGATCGATCTCTGATCAGGATACCATCAGATTCCCGTTAAGAAGGAGGATATTCCTAAGACAGCTTTCCGCACTAGATACGGTCATTATGAGTTCACAGTCATGCCCTTTGGGTTGACTAACGCACCGGCAGTGTTCATGGATATGATGAACAGTGTGTTCCGGAAGCATCTTGATCAGTTTGTTGTGGTCTTCATCAATGACATCTTGGTGTACTCCAAGACACACGAGGAGCACGCTGAGCATCTACGTACCGTTTTGAGCATTCTACGAGAGCAGCAGCTTTATGCCAAGCTGTCCAAGTGCGAGTTCTGGTTGCACGAGGTTACCTTCCTCGGCCATGTCGTCTCGGCCGAAGGTGTGAAGGTAGACCCGTGTAAGATAGCAGCGATCACGGAGTGGAAGACTCCGCGGAATGCACGTGAGGTGAGGAGCTTTCTCGGACTGGCAGGCTACTATCGTCGGTTCGTGAAGGACTTCTCCAAGATAGCGTCACCATTGCACAAGCTGATGAGGAAGGACGTCAAGTTTGTCTGGACTGACGCCTGTCAGCAGAGTTTCGAGCAGCTGAAGGAGTGTCTGACCCAGGCACCAGTCCTAGTCCAGCCCACTCCAGGAGTGGAGTATATGGTTTTCAGCGACGTGTCCCATAACGGTTTGGGGTGTGTCCTCATGCAGGAGGGCAAGGTCGTTGGTTATGCATCTCGGCAGTTGAAGCCACATGAGTGTAACTATCCGACGCACGACCTTGAGCTAGCAGCTATTGTACTTGCCTTGAAGATCTGGAGGCATTACCTCTACGGTGAGACGACGCGGATCTTCACCGACCATAAGAGTCTTCAGTACTTGTTGACGCAGAAGGATTTGAATCTCCGACAGAGGAGATGGTTAGAGTTGATTAAGGACTACGACTGTCACATCGCTTACCACCCAGGTAAGGCGAATGTGGTAGCCGATGCCCTTAGTCGTAAAACTCTAGCTGTGTTACACGTCCAGCCTACATTACAGCAGCAGATAACATCGGCCCAAAGCAGCGATGATTTCTGCATCCAGACCATTGAGCTCGTCTCTCGAGCAGAGAAGCTAGATTTCACAGTTCGGGATGGTATCTTGTACTATCGGGGGCGTATGGTTGTGCCAGCGGGGGAGGTGAGAGAGCGCCTGCTTCGTGAAGCACACAGCACAGTATATACCATGCACCCAGGCAATAACAAGATGTTTCAGGATCTTAGGCGGCATTACTAGTGGCCCACGATGAAGCGGGAGATCATAGAGTTCACATCACGGTGTTTGACTTGTCAGCAGGTCAAGGCCGAGCACCAGGTTCCTTCAGGATTGCTTCAGCAAATCACCATTCTCGAGTGGAAGTGGGATCGTATCACGATGGATTTCGTTGTGGGTCTGCCCTTGTCACCACGTAAGCACGACATAGTTTGGGTATTGTTGATCGGTTAATACAAATTAGCTCATTTTCTCCCAATTCGTCGTGACTTCTCACTTTAGCGTTTAGCGGAGTTGTATGTCCGCGAGATCATCAGGCTACATGAAGTTCCATCATCTATCATTTCGGATCGTGACCCTCGATTTACATCACAGTTTTGGAAGAGCCTACAGAGGGCATTGGGCTCCGATCTCCACTTCAGTACGGCGTTCCACCCTCTGACAGACGGTCAGTCGGAGAGGGTGATTCAGATTCTCGAGGATGTGATGCGTGCGTGTGCAATCGACTTCGGGGACGGTTGGGAGCGATACCTGCCACTCATGGAGTTTGCATACAACAACGGTCACCAGGCTAGCATTGGTATGGCACCGTACGAGGCTCTGTACGGTAGACCCTGTCGTACTCCTACCTGCTAGACAGAGCTCAACGAGAGGAGGTTGGAAGGACGAGATTTGGTTCGTGAGACCGAGGAGAAGGTCCAGGTGATTAAAGACCGACTTAAGGTGGCTTCGGACCGACAGAAGTCCTACGCCGACCTTAAGAGGCGTGACATCGAGTATGTAGTCGGGGATAAGGTTTTCCTCAAGGTGTCACCTTGGAAGAGCGTCTTACGTTTCAGTAAGAAGGGAAAATTTAGTCTGAGGTTTATAGGCCCGTACCCAGTCACTGAATGGGTGGGACCTGTAGCTTACAGGCTCGAGTTACCATTGGAGTTGAGCAAGATCCACGATGTATTCCACGTGTCCATGCTCCGGAGGTACCGGTCGGACCCTTCTCATGTGATTCCAGCTGATACGGTCACACTCGATGAAAATCTCACGTATGAGGAGGAGCCGGTTGAGATTCTGGCTCGCGAGGTTCGTCAGTTGAGGAACAAGACCATTCCGCTGGTCAAGGTTCTGTGGAGAAGTCACACTGTCGAGGAGGCGACATGGGAAACCGAGGAATCCATGCGCACTCGTTATCCACATCTGCTATGCATAAAATATCCTTTTACAGTTTGTGTGCATTTCTGCAACATTCTGATTTCAGGGACAATATAAAATATTGTCATCTTTGCCATTCTTGGTCAAAGCCAGTGCTACTATTAAACCCAGACCAAACCGGCTGATTGGACCAGCTGGTGGGTTTGCCCATAAACCCGTATTTAGCCAGTTCTATAGTGCTGGAAATCCAACTGGGAATCTTCTGGCTGGACTGGTTGAACTGATCCTTCTTTAAAAATCTATTATTTTCTCAATTTTTTACATATCTATCATTTGTTTATGGCTATTCTGTTAGATATGATAATTTAATTTCACGTGTGCTTTCACTAATGTTTGTACTTGATACAGATACTGGTTTGCTAATAAACCAACTTGTGCTTCACTTTCTGTGTTCTATTTTTACAACTCAATTTTGAATATTATTATTACTATTTTAATTACTATATTTAAGTTATTGGACATAAAGTGTGGAACAAGTATCTAGGTGGGGGTAAGGTCTATACACTCCCTCTGTTTTTATTTCGCTAGTAGTCTTCATCTATGCACTTTGACTATTCATCTACCTTTGACTATTCATATATAATGAAGATTAACTTTTGGAACTATTCATCTATGCACTTTGACTCATCAAATTCTCTCAATGTGTAAGCCTAAAAATAGTCATGTGTGATCTTGTTTGATTCGTCTTAACATATAGATTACTAATAGTATTATATTGAGTCCATACTAATTTTTTCTATAATTCTATTTCAGGTTCATCTTACGCATTTAGTCCATACTAATTTTTTCTTTAATTTAAATAAATGTTTTGACCCGAAAGATAATTTCATATAAATACATCCTAAACAAATAAAGAAAAACAACCATAAGGATATTTTAGTAATTTTATTCTTTTTCTACCTCACGTTACCTAATAAACATCCAAACACAATTTTTTAACTCATTACCTTAGTTTACCTACCTTCAATTACCTACCTCCAATTACCTACCATTACCTACCTAATAAAACTTTTACCTATCTCCAACCAAACATACCCTTAGGGTATACAACTCTTAGGCTATGTGCGGTAAGAAACTAACGGATGTTACTGTCAACGAGGACAAATAAAAGAAAATTTTGACATGTACAATGTCTAAAGCATAAAAGTACAAATATATTGTTGGATGGAAAAGGTGCATCTTTACCATTTATATATTACTACTGTTTTAATATGTGCCATGCACGAGTGGAACGAAATTTTGTTATATTCTATAATTTTTTAATAAAGATAATGTTTTTTTGGATTCCGACTTTTGGAGTTTTTTTTTATGTGAGAAAAATAGTTTTAAAGAATCTATATCTAATTTTTTTTGGTACATATGTAGTAGGAAATCATTTTTTAAAAAAATGATTATATTTCCTATACATGAATGTCTATTTTCTTTGTAATTGCTTGAGTTCTCTTTTTTTTTTTGAAGGAAGCTTGAGTTCCCTAATTCTACGAAGAAAGCAAAAAAAAAAAAATACTCTCATCTCGTCCCCCTACCTTAAACCTTATAGAACAAAGCTCTATAATAGAGATTTGATACATATTGTGCGTGAAAATAATATAATTATGTCACCTCTAATTTTGTAAAACTTTAGATCTTATTTTTAAATATGTATTTTTTATTATTTAACTTTACACGAATCATCGTATCAAGTGAATTAAAACTAATTTTATTCAAATGTCGTAACGAATAAAATTTATGGATGAAGAGAGTATTTATTTTTAAAAAAATCATACACTAATAAAAATTTCCGTAAAATTAATTAAACTTTGGTACTTTAAACTCTAAAAATATTTTTTAAAACAAATTTTCAATAATAATTCAAGATAATAACATAATTTATAGATCTTTCAATGTAGTATGATTAAATATATAATTGAAACCACTATATTATTTTGGAAAATTATTTTAAATAATCCCATCTTTTCATCACTTTTTTTAAAAAATAATCTCACTTTTCACTATCAATGAAAATAATCCCACCTTTCTGCATGTGTGCGAGTTTTGGGCCGCCGTTAAAAAACTAACGGCCACTTAATAGGATTTTTTGAAAAATACATATTTTGGAAAATAAATGAAAGGTGGGATTATTTTAGGTAAATTAATTTTTTAATTTTTTTACATGGAAAGTTTTTTTAAGGATAAAAACCAAATTCAGTTATTAAGGATATAGCTTAATTGGCCGTTAAAAAACTAACGGCCAATGAGTCATGCATCTGCTTCCTTTGTAGTTCAAACTTGGGAGAAGTTCCATTCATAATCACTTATATTTCAAAAAAAAAGATAAGCCTCATCCCTGAGGTTCTCTAAGACCCGGTCAAACAGTTATTGAGAAAAGAAAAATTAAACTTTGAATTCGGTACTTATAGAGGCCTCATGCTTAGCATAATTGCCTTCCATCGCAGTTGTCTGTAATCAAACTCGGGTCTTACCCCCTTGGCAATCTTTACTTTTGTCAACTTCGCAACAGGGTGGAACGAACTTTTTGTTTCGAATTTTTAAGTTTTCTTTGCCACAACATTCTTAAAAAATCGAACAAAATAAAATATCAACCTTAAAAGTTAATATATTGATAAATTAAACTCACCCGTCCCACTAAACCTTTATGGTTTTGACTTTTAAAAGATTTAAGGGAAGAGTATTTTGGTGTTGATCTTCCAAAAATATCCTTGGATGTGATATGTAAAAGTAAGATGTGATGAGTAGATTAATGCTAAAAAATGTAATGTGATAAACATGTTCAAAATTAATAGGAGGAAAAGTGATTTTATAATAGAAATGAGAAAGATTTTTGGGGACGAATGAAAAAAGAAATGAGAAGATTTTATGGAACAGAGAGAGTATAATATTTTCTGGTGAAAATGATACTATATTTATTTGAAAATTAACATGTCAAGCTCTTATTTAAATTAGAATATTTTGAAAATTAAGGTTGTGCAAGGTTTTGCTCTAATGGGAATATATTTTATATTTTAAATTATAAATTTTAAATTTCAAATCTTAAATTTTAATTATAGACTTTAAATTTTGAATTTTAAGTTTTTTAATTTTAAAATTATATTATAATTATAAAATTTTAGATTTAAAATGTTAAATTTTAAATATTAAATTTTTATATTTTAAATTTTAAACTATAAATTTTTTAATTTAAATTTTAATATTTACATTTTAAATTTTAAATTTTAATATATACATTTTAAATTTTAAATTTTAAATTCAAATTTTAAATTTTAGCTTTTAAAGATTGAAGTAAAAAATTTTAGCTTCATTCACTACGTCAAAAACAGATGCTGACAACGGTTTCTTTTAGTAGTCTCTCAGTGCTGATTTCAGTAGTCTTTAGAGCAGCTGTCTGATATATTTACAGACTATTGTTTAAAAACAATTATGTAAAATGGTTGATGACACCTGTTTTGTAATGTTTTAATTTAGAGTACCACTTTTTAGTGTTGTCCCCGTATGAGTAAGACATCTGTTTCTTAGAGTTAAAGAGAAATGTGATTTTTTGTTATCTATCTATAATGAATACTATTGTTGTTTTTTACTTCAGACTCCTAATTCTTGGTGTTGTCGTTCAACAATATAAACATCTACTTTAAAAAGTAATTGAAATATATATCAGACTGCTGCTCGGAAGACTACTAAATAAAAATAGCATCAGACAACTGATATCTTTTGTTGTGTTTCTAAAATATGGACTACTAAATTTGTTGTATTTTAAACAACCGTTTCTGTCAGTTGTATAGTGTTAAACAACACTATGCTTTTTTGTAGTTGTCCTTGAAATATTCATACTATCTTTTTACACACTAGTCAGATTACAAATCAGACTACTGCGCCAAAGACAACTAAGTATGTTTGCATAAAACAACTACTATTATGTGTTGTATTTGTAAAATGTAGACAACCTTATTTGTTGTATTTCAAACAACTCTTTGTTTAAATTGTCTGACGTTTATTAACAATACATGTTTGTGTAGCCATCCTTTAAAGATTTAGAAAACTGTTTAAATACATTGTAAAGCTTTTTGAAAGACTACTATATTTTAATTCACAATTATATTTAATAATTAAAATTTACTTCAATTCTAAAATATTGATCATGAGACAAAAATAAATTCCAAAATGTACAAAATATTGAATAATATCTAAATACATGCAATCCAAAATCTTAATAGCATCCAATAATTTAATATTTACATAATTAAAATCACATTCTAATTGTCCATTGACCATGCCTAATTTAATTATTTGTCCCCTCAATAACATCCAACATTGAATCAAGAGCCAGACCTTTAATTCTTGACGCCGTTGTGACCATGATCGATAATCTGCAAGCGAAGCATATAGTGAGTTGAATCACCAAAAGATTAACTTAACCAAGAAAGAAAATAAAAAACTCACATGGAACCCCCAACTGCTAGGGCCAATTGTTTTGAAAAGAGACATTGCAGACATTGAAATCCCATTGGCAGCTCCTCTCTGCTCACTGAAAATCATTTTAAATTTCTTTTTAAATAAGGGACAACCAAATTTAGCAAGCCCTTTAAGAAGTAATGCCATTTTATGAATTATAAGAGTTTTACCATAGAAGAATACAAAAGTTAAAGCCAAAACATACTTCCTAAAATATTACACTTACAACTCCTCGGTTTTGAAGTATCAATAATCCCGTAGTGCTTGGTTTTGTACCTGTTTCGTTTTTCAACATCCAACCAACAATAATCGCATAGCAACACCAATGGTCATATTAACATTCTAAACATTATCAAGCACATTAATCCATCAATCAATGCCTAATTCATGCATACTACCTTTTTTGATTTAACGACACAATTCCCAAAACCACAATCAAGAATTGTACACATAAATCACAAAGATCAACCACGATAATAATTATGAATGAAATTTCAAACATAGATGCATATTCTAGTGTTAGATGTCCACGTACTCACCTCGGTTTGTCGATTCAATTCAAAAGAAGTTCATTCAAATTCCATGGTCTCTGGCTACCTTATAGGTTGTTTTTAAAGCTACAGTATGTCAGTCCTAGTGAAGTTTATTATGCTGCATAGTTTTTGTTTGGTTTCTACATCATATTTATGTTTTGGGCCAGGGTTTAACCTTTTTTTGATTGGCTTTTGCTGGGGTTTGAAAGTCTTCATTGGCTTTTGCTAAACCATT